TTTTTTGTTCTTTAATAATTATTTAGGGTTTTTTGTCCATTGTGTTCTGTCCATGATAACTGTGGTTTGGTCTTTCTTTAGATTTTTGAGTGCTTCTCTGACCTCTGGTTCAAGTTTTATTTTATTTATTTATTTATTTATTTCCATTAACTTATATGCCGCCCTTCTCCCCACGGGACTCAGGGCGGCTCACAGCATATTAAAACAACACAAAACATTTCCCCTATAAAAGCCAATTAAAAACCAAATATTTATAGCTGTGTCTTATTAAAATCATTAAAATTGTCCCTATTTAAAATTGGTTCTGATTATGTTGCTATGTGGTATGTTTTCTGCTTTATAGATTCTTGGATTTCTGTGGCATGTCCTGTTGTTTTAAATGTTGCTTCTTAGGCTGAAAAAAAATTCTAACTCATTAGCAATGTGTTATATTTGATGGCTTTCTGGAGAATATTGTTCTGCAATGCATACTGGATAGCTGACTACTTATTTGGATTCAGGTACTGTCAGCCTTCCCTGGCAAACCAGGGCTACAGCTACAGTAACAGAATCTTGCAAATCTGAAAGTACAAAACTTCCTGCCTCCCCTTTTAACTGCTTGATTCATCAGGGCAGGTCTTTTCTCAGTTTCTTCTTCTAACAATTAAGCCACTGGGGGTTTCTTCCTTTTTTGTCCGATTGTTTCCTGTGTTTACCCTTTCCCCCAGGTTATTCCCACATTCCATTGTATCACTTTCCCCTTCAGACACAACCTCCCCTCCCAAGTTCCCAGATAAATAAGTTGTGGATTGTGAGAATGAAAAATAGCTATATTGCTTTCCTCTTCTGGCAACTTAGCGCATGTACACAAGGCATTTCATAAATCATCTCGTTAAGTGGCAGTCACCCCCCCCTTGGGAATCTAGTGATTCCTTTCCCCCCCCCCCCATGTCTTGTATGCCTGACAAGAAAGGAACTGAATTATTTTCCTCTACTTAGTCTCTTGATACTCAAAACTTCCTCCTCAGAGTTCCTCCAGCTCATCATGGTCAGCACCTGGTTCCTGCAAGGCCAGAAGCTTCTTATGGTGGGATTTATTGATGTATTGATTGTGAAAACAATATATCAATGTTGCTGTTCTATTGTTACCTCCCATGTTCTTTCTGAGTCTGGGTAGTTTTTCCAATGAATTTAGTACTCAGCCTGCTTCCTCTGCATGTAAAGGCTAATACTACTTCCACCTCATACTCTCCCCTCTGCTAGAATGGGAGACAGGAGTGTTGAGTTCAGTGGGGGGGGGCGGCTCTTTCGCAAACAGTGATTGATGGAATTCAGAGAAAACTTTCATTGTGATGGCAACTGCAAGCTAAATGTACTGGATTGATTTGATTAGTTACTGGGAAAGGATCAGTAACTATTTTGAGCCCAATTTCATGGAAAGTCTCCTGGAATTTAATAATTTTGTAGAAAGCTGCATCACATCTCCTTGAATTCTAACCCCTTCTTGTGTATTTGCTGCTTTTTTGTATGAGATTTCTTTCCCAGGTTGAGTCATTCTTTTAAGAAGCTTTGGGTTGCAGGAAATATGTGGCATGAGGTACGGCACTTTGTCTGTTTGTTGGTAAGACCCGTGTCAAATGGAGACATACCAATAGAGGAGTCTGCAGCATTGTTCTAAGCAAACTCAGCAAAAGATATGAGATCAGTCTTGCTGATAAGAAATGCAGCATTTTAAATACTGCTGTAATAGCTGCTTAACCTCACCTTCTCTGTTGGAAATCAGATGAATGATGGACGATATGACTTTCAATATTTAATAATTGCAAGGGGGCCTTCCAGAATTTGGAAGTGAATTGACTTCCTCTGTCTTCTCACGTGATTGACTAATTCTCTATATCTAAAGACATGATCCCAAAGAACCTGAGCCATTTCTTGGGACATTAGGAAGCCCTTGCAAGGAATTAAATTAGCCATTTTGGTAAATAAATCCATTACTACCTACCAGCTTGGTAGTATACCCCACACTGGAGGAAGATTGGTGATGAAATCTAGTGAAAAAGTCTCCCAGGGTTTTGGGGGAAGGCATGTTCATTGATTGCAACAATCCAGCTGGTTGGGGATTGGTTTTGCTCTCCGACAAACTTGACAAGAGGACTCATAATCTTTAATTTCTCTGTGGATGCAGGGCCACCCAAATTCTCTGAGGGATCTTTGTTGGGTTCTGAATGTTCCTCCATGTCCTGCTGTCTTGTACTACTTACTCCTTTTCCCCCTGGGGGATGAGGCACATATAAATGTCCATTGTGCAATAGCTACCCTCCCACCACTATGAAAAGGGAAACGTGACTTGTTGGGCTTCCTTGAGTTTATATCTGGATGCATGAACTCAAGGAAGCCCAGCAAGGTACCATTTCACCTTTCACGGTGGCATATGTACCCCGCAGCTATTGTGCTTAATTGGATCAAAGAGATCACTGTTGCCTTCCTGTTCCCAGCCTTGAGTTGATCTGCATTACAGTGGGACTCAAAGTTGCTTGGCTGCAGTATTATTGCTGGGATTGTGCAGTATTGTTGCTGGGAGGTGCAGTGATTGACAGTTATTTCTCTTAAAATACTGCTTGCTCTTGGGTTAACCAGGAGAATTGCTGATCCTTTTTCAGTAGCTGCTATAGTGGTTTTACAAGTCTAGCAAAATTAGAAATTTTCTGTAGAAGTAAGCAAAGCCTAGGAAGCACTGCACATCTTTTGTATTTCTCTGTGTGTGTATGCATGCATACCCGCCCTATGATAGAACAAACTGTGCCTTTGCTGGATCCATCTGTATTTCTTCTATAGATATTCTGTATCACAGATAGTCCAGTTGAGTCAGATCAAATACACATTTTTCTAATTTTACAGGTTTAGTTTCCCATATTTTTGCAGTACATTTCTGACTTGAGTTATATGAAAGGAGGTATTTTGGAACAAACTAAGATGTCATCTACATAGATGACAACGTATTTGTCTAAAATGTCTGAAAAATTGTCATTCATGAATCTAGAAAAATCATTCCACAATTAACCAGGCCATGAGGCATTACTGTATGTTCAAATTTTCCTTATCTTATATCAAAGGTTATTATAAATATTCATGTCCTTTCTTCCATTCTGATTAGCTTGTAAGCATTTCTCAATTCTAGTTTTGTAAAGTGTGCTTTTTGTAGCTGATCTAATAGATGTGAGATAAGCAGGAGTAGATAATGGTCTCTAATTGTTACTTTGTTCACATTTTTGTCACCAACTGTACAGGCTCTCTCTCCTTTCTCTTCAGATTGGCTGTTGTTCTTCCTTGTCAGGTGTTTAGCGGTTAACTAGGTTCCTTGAGCATCAGAGGTGATTCTTGAAACTCCTCTTTGGAAAACAGTAGGAGACTTGCAAGATTGATGTCAGACCTCCAAATAAGCCAAATAACAAACGTGACTAGATGAGCTAAATCTACTTTATTGTAAGGCTATATTAAAGAATCTTGCAAGTCTGAAGTATGACGTTTTCCATCACTATTCTTAATTGCTTGATCGATTAAAGTGGATCCTTTCTAAGTGGCTTCCTCAGACGATTAGCTATTGGGTGATGCTGCCTCTATTGACTGATTGTTTTTCTTCCATATTTCCCCCAAACTCATTCCCACACACCATTAAAAAAAACCCAGTAAAAATGCTTAGAAGCATACAAAAAGACCAGAACACATCTTCTCCAGCAGCCAACAGCCAGATAGGCAAGGATTAACACCTGACAAACAATCAAGCAGAAAACAATACCCTAATTAAGGAATTATCATGGAGTACGTAAATCACACACTCCAACACTGGCAGGGCAAGCTACTGTACATAAACAGTGAGCAAACCACACACACTCACCAGCACTGATGACATTACAAACAAGCTCAGATTTACGAAGGATTCCACAGTTCAAGTCTGCCATAATTTAGGAGGGAATGAATGAATGAATAAATGAAAAAAGCCAGTTTGGTTCAGTGGCCCCAGACTAATCTGAGAACTCATTTGTGGTTTAAAAGACACTGATTTGCAATAGTAAACTATAGGATAATGTTCATAATGTGTGAATTCAGCCAACATTTTTTTAATAAAATAAATCATTGTGAAGTAGCCCATGACTGCACAAAAGTGCAGTGAGAGAGATTAAAAAGACATAGAAAAACATCCGATTTCCTCTGCAGAAAATATAAGTATGATCACAAAATTATCTCTTACTGTATAATAACAAAAACTCACTTTTCTCTATTTATTTTTTTCTAATCAAAACCACAAGTGCATTTTTTTCTTTTCCATGAAAAAATCTATAAGGGGTTTCCAATCTGCCATAAATATAGATACTATCTTTTTCTGATCAAAAAAGTTAATATAGCCACCTCCTCAAGTTCTATCATCTTCACCAACCCTTTCATTTTTGCAAATATAATAATATTGGTGCAATTGTCATATTTTGTTTATTTATTTACTTGTTCAATTTCTATGGATGTCCATCTCAATCATTGACATATATAAAAACTGAGTTGCCTGTCCATTAGTCCTAAACGAAAGCCTCTGCTTTCAGTTATACTTTAATCAGTTATGTTTAACAGTTGTAGAAAAATCATGGAACAATTTCCTTCCCTCTTTATTTGTTAAAAGATGGCTGATATTTTACAGTGGCAGTTGACATGGACTAAAGCGATTCTCACTGCAGAACATTTAGCCAATATGCAGTTAAAATTAACTGAAATTCAGTTAATATTCAACTCATTCTATTTCAGTAACAATTGAAAATTATTATCTGATTATCTGATATGGTGTAACTTTAAAAATAATGTTCCATTTCATCACTTTTTAATGTGATGCATGGCTGATGGATTTTGCCATAGCAAGCGTGAGTCTGGGCATCCCTGCCCAGGGATGGAAATAGTGGATAATTTGTAATATTCTGCTTTTCCTTTATAAGCTATTTTCCATTTTCATTCCTCATTTACTTTTCCCATTGTTACAGGAAATTCCATGTATGGGAAGTTTGCTTGGTAGAAAATAGGACGCGGAGGATGTTGCAATGCAAAAACAGTTGAGTAGAATGCATTCTGAACTCTTAACATTACTTTTTCTCAGGGGTAAATATACATCCCTGCCTCCCGTTTCTTTCATTTTGGCAGCTTTGCAATTGAGAAATAGTGACTGGAGTTCCTAAATCTCTAGTTTGGCCTTTAATTTGCAATTCATCAAATCTAAAAATAAATGAATAAATTTCTTGTTGTTGAAATTTTTTAAAAAAAAATTAATTTAACAAATAGAAACAATTTATAGTAAGAATAAGACAGTGAAAAGCCACATCAGATTTGATATTTCTAGATATTTTCTAATCCACAGTTTATTTTTCTTATGGTATTTTTCTTGTCTTTCTATAGGGATTAAAGACACACAGGAGCCTTCATGGATATAGTTGATACATTTAATCATTTAATTCCTACTGAACACTTAGATGATGCCCTATTTCTAGGATCCAACCTGGACAATGAAGTCTGTGAGGATTTTAGTACAAGTCAAAATGTCTTAGAGGATTCGCTGAAGAACATGCTCAGTGATAAGGACCCTATGCTAGGATCTGCAAGTGCTCAGTTCTGTTTGCCTGTTTTGGATAGCACTGATCCCAATTTCCAGATGCCTTGTTCTACAGGTAACTCTTAATATTTTCAAGTCTACACTTTTAAATAGGGCAGTATTGTAGTGTTTTCCCCTTTTTTGGTTTGCAAATACATTTTTCTTTCTGCTCTGCTTTATAGCATAGAGCAAAACATTAAATTGCTAGTTGTCCCTGAATTCACTTGAAAATTCTATTTAAGAAGCTTTAAAAGGAATAATGGAGAGAGGCATGGTGCTACAGGCTATTTTTTCTATGAAGACACGGGTGTGCCTAGTACTCTACCCTTCATTTTAAAACACATTCTAATATAATATATTCTATTATAACTAAAGAATCTGTGGAATTTTTAAAAAGCTGAGAAAGTATATATAATATTAGCAGAGTTCCACTTCTACAATAGAAGTTTTCCTTGGTCCTTCACAGATCTGAGTCTAGATAGATCTTCATTCTGCAGAGAGATTGGGGGGGGGGCATCAAAAGCAGTGGGGAATTCGATTTTGATCAGTTGTAAAGACCATTCTGCAGACCTAATGGGTTATAGTGCTGTAGAATAGGATGTAACTTTGGACATACTTTTTTTAAGGGAATTTCATTCTTGTATATTGTACCTTAGCACAGAAGGTTTTTCAAGATGACCTTTAGAACTTTATGCTATAAACTGATCCTCTTAATCAGAGTGTTTTTTTTTTTTTTGCTGAATAGCTTTCAATATAAAATGGGTATACTGACCGTCTGTAAGAAATGAATAGGACATTGCTTGATATGTGGTCATGTATGAGTTTCAATATTGATCCTTAGATGTTATAAACAATTTAAATTGGCATGTGTCACAACTCTTAAACATTCTGTATCATTTCTCCTCTGTCTTTCTAGCTATTGTGTGTCCTTCATCCCATGTCATTGCTATGGCTTGTCAAATCTTAGTCTCTTTTTGTTTCTTGAAAAAATAGGAAAAATTAATCATTACAATACATATAATTTGAAATGTAGAAGAGGTTGATTATGAAACAGTATGAGCATTCATCTGAATCTTAAGCCAAGGAAAGAAATGATTTTAAAGATGTGATAGACTTTTTCTAAAAAGAAGCTTAAGTCAATCCTTATCTGTGGTAATACAGTTAATTATTTCAGCTTGCTAATAGTTAAGAATGCCATCCATGTATAACATTTCTAGGAAGGGACATGATTGAACATTATTATATTTATTTCTGAATAAAATTTTGTAGGATTGGGGTAATTGAATCTAGAAAAAAAGTTGCTATCCTGAATCTAGGATAGATTTAAATTATCATTTTCTTGAAAATAGCAGGATCTATATTTTGAATTCTCTGATGAATTCTACACTGAATGGCTAGCACTGATAATTATTTTAGTCCCAGTTTTCTACAGTGACCACTAAGGAGATGTAATAGTAAGTTAATGTAGCAGTACATAAAGTTATGCTAAAATGCTCTTAAAAATAAATTGTGCTGAAACCATAGAACTTTTAGAATAAATACTATTGGAAAATAATAGTCACTTAATTTTTTTTATTAACAATGGCAATTTTGGTAATTCTATTTTATTTTATTTTGTAATAAAGACTTGTATGTTAAATTGGTTGATTATCAAGAATAGACTGGTAGTGACTTAAATTTTTGAGTGTTTGAGATGAGTATAGCTGTCTGGTGTGTCTTCAGCTAAAGTTCTAAGTTTTCTGTTGAATTTTAAAGCTCTCTTGAGGAAGGGGACATGAGTATAGATGCTCAAAGTATGCACAATATGTTACATACAATTAACTATGAACTATTACGTTGAAGCAAAAACAAATATTTCTTACTGTATTTTAGTTTTTGTTATTTATTCAAACTGAATGAACAAGGTAGAGTATTGTAAGAGATTAGAAAGTTGGTCGTGATTCAGTGATTCTTCCAACTAGCTATTTGTTCCTATGATCTGAATTCTCAAAGCAGGAGTGGCCATTTCCTCATGACACACCTCATTTTGAAACTGAAGAGAAATGTAAAAGAATTTGCATCTTATATTAAATAAATAAATACCAAGAAGGTCCCAAACATTGTATGAGCGTTGCAGTAACCATTGAAAAACTAGCATTACCTGCAGAATTGGTAAATATTTCAGCTTTTCCTTAAATGACTATTTTATAATAAAGAAATAATAAAAAATAAAACATAATTGTATAGAAGACAGTGTCCCATCCAAAATAATAGTGTTAATATTAATTTGAAAGGAATATATTTACCTGTAATCATTAGGACTTTAGATATTTGCCTCATTAATGACTCGTGAGGAAGCATAATAAGGGATACTATATCAGGACATAAAGGAATTCTCCCACTGACTCTTCTGCTTTTGCTTAAGTTGTTCTCCGTTCCTTTCTTAACATTTCTTCTCAGCTCCTAGTAGTATAACTGCCCAATGAAAAGTTTTTCTTAAACAGCAATACCTTCCATTGCATTTCAAAATTATTTTTGAAACTAAGGAGACTTTCCAAAAGAAATTATAATTATAATAAATTATAATTTATTTTTAGATAAAGATTTTGAGAGGTCTTATTAAATGTGATGGATATTCCTACTGCATGGAAAAAGTTGTTTTATGTTAGATCAGACCATTGGCTTATTTAACACAGTATTAACACTGACTGCCCAAGTGTCTCCAAGATTTCAAGCAGAAATTAGCCCAACCATATATTTTAGTTCCTGAGAAATACTCTGTCCTTCCTAGAATTCAGATACCATTTGAAAAATCAGTGTTAAAAGAGGATTGGAAGTGAATCAGTCTGAGGGATTTTTTATTTTTTTTTGCTCTTTCTATCTAGTTCTTTCTGGCTTACCTTAATTGTTTGCACTTGATAGGTTTTTTTTTTTTGCTTTTCCAAATTTTCTTTATTTGAATAACATTTCTTTTTGTTATTTTAAATGATGTGGTTTGATCTTTTATATTGCAGTGATTTAAAATAAGAATTTATTGAAAGAATTTTAACTGAATATTAAAATTTCTTTTAACTGAACATTATAGGTTCCACTTCACTAATACTTCTGTCTTTTCTCTTGAAATATAATTGTGTTTATCTTTTACTTGGGGGAGAAAATATGATAATAAATAGGCTATTATCAAGTAATTTATCAGCAGTTCTATTTTGCGGTTTGTTCATTTGCTACTAAGAATAACACTAATAAGCTAATTTAGAATCTGCATAAAGTTGGTTGTGAGTCATGCCTATGTTCCCTTTTCTGCAGTTACTTTTCAGGTAGATGAAAATCATGCATTTTTATAGTTTTTCTATCATTAAGTGCTTGTCCTTCATTTGATTGTTTCAAAATTGTTGTGTTTATTTTGTTGTATTACATATTCATGCATATAATATGAAGTGTACATACATATCTAATAGACTGTTTATACTCTTTCATCCTAAAATCCTTCCAGAGTGGCTAATGCAAGGTTAATAAAAGTGGAATGTTTATTTATTGATTCAATTTATGGCCTACCTTTTCATTTAGGAGCTTAAGGCAACATTCATAGCTTTACCACATTATGTTTTATTTTACAACAACAATAAACCTGTGGGACAGGTTGAGCTGAAAGAGAATGTCTGGCCTAAAATTATCAGTGAATTTTCCTGGGAGAGAGTGGATAGAATGTAGATCTTCCTGGTTCCATTCCAGCGCTTGAACCACTATGCCACACTGATTCTCTATCTACAGCCTTAAACAATAAAATTCAAAGGCAAGGAAGGCAATGACAGGCAATTTCTAAGTTATATTTATATTTATCAGATTAGAATGCAAGAAATCCAGGAATAGAGGAAGCAAATCGAGTTTTTTCCTTAGCAAGGTCAATAGATCCAATTTTTTTACCTCTACTACAACTTGAATTTCAGAGTTATCATTTACATATGCAGAAATTTATAGTCTTTTTTGAATACAGTTGGTTCTTATTTATCTCTGTTTTGCTTTGCTGCCTTAATCATTTTGCTATTTCTTCATTGTAGCATAATAAATATATATGATATTTTAATATTAATTGGTTGAAATGGCTCAAAAATGATGAAGTCTATTTTTTGGAAGATTGATTGCATTTGTTTCCATTTTAAATCATTTCTATCTTAAGAAGCATTAAGATGTATACAATAATAGATGACAGCTAGTGTTATTGGTAATGCATTCTGAATAGGCTTATGGTGAGAAATCAGGAGTGTCAAATTCAGTCTGCTGTAATTATATAAGACATATACGTTTACTCAAGATTTTAGTAATGTACATATATTTATATGATACTGAAAAGCTTAATCATTGGGCTTCAGAAGTTACTTGTCCAAAAGTATTTATCCCAGGGAAGTAACTAGCTACAGTATTCATTTTAATTCCTTTTTTGGCGTGTGTTTTTATGTGTGTACATATATGTGTGCATGCCTTCAATTCAGTTTTTGACTTCTGGTGACTGAATGGTCTAGTTACCTGCAATTTTCTTGGCAAGGTTTTTCAAAAGTGGCTTGTCACTTTTTACTTATGTTGGCCATATGTGACCAGTTTCATCCTATTTGAGATTTCAGAATTATGTAGCTGCAGATCTTAGTGTGGGATTCAAAACTTCCACCAGGAGTAAATCCCATGAACTCCAATGGAGTGGGGATTGGGGAAGTCATGTAAAACTTTGTATATGAAACCCTTGGTCAAATATATCCTGTGTACCAACTATGGATCAGGATGATCTCACAGTCACTTATAGCCTATTTACCTTCTACTTCAACTATTGCAATGAAGCCAACATAGAGCTACCTTTGAAGACCATCTGGAAACTACAGTTATTCCAGAACATGGCTGCACAAGCAGTTAAGAGGTCCCTCATTTTACCATTTAACATCTCTGGTCCATAAACTGAACTGGTTATCAGAAATGTTTCAACTATCTAACATGTTGGTTGTCCCTATAAAGCCTTACATTGGTTTATCTTCAGTACTTTCTTACTCCTATCTTTTCTGTCTAACTGATAAGTTCAGCTACAATTAGTGTACTCTTATGTCCTAGCTCTAAGGCATTGTCACCTTAGGGGACCTAGAAGGTCTTCTTTGTAGTTATGTCTGCCTTGTGGAATAGTGTTCTTCCTGAGATTTGGATGGTTCCAACACTGTTGGCATTTATAAAGTTCCAGCATGCTCTGAAGTGTAACAGTTAATTCTTTGGTAAATCTATCCTGATGTTTAATCCATTTTGTTGGACATACTCTCTGATATATAGTGATGTAATGTTATGTATTTATTATTTCTATTGTTTTTATTATTGTTTTCACGTAGAGTTACTTTGTAATGGAGACAACCTATAAAGCAATCAATCCTCATCTGAAGACATGATCCCTAACAGACCCTTGTTAAACTATATTATATTTGTTTTGTTGTTAGCTTTTTAATTGGATTGTATCTTATTGATAGTTCTTATTGCTTTTTGTACATTTCTCTTAATTTCCCTTCAAATCCATATCGTATAATGTTAGGTAGATTTGTACTTGTTAGGAAACTAAGAGTAGGTGCTCACTGGTGTCTTTTCATCAGACTAGGTGGAAGTTTGGAATGGGGTGCATTAGGGTTAACTTTAGGGTCCTATAATATTTTAATTTCTCATTATTGTCTTTCATAAAAAGAGAGAGTGAATCCTTATATTTCCAGATGAAACAAATCTTGGATGTGATAATTATGGAAATTGAATTTTAATGGGGTTATTATGAAAGACTACATTTTGATCTATCATTAACTAAGATTTTTAAGTGGCAGCAGAAGTAACCCATGGCTGTTGTAACTAATAACCAGAAGAGCAAGCTAATTTTATTAGAAATTTTAAAGCAGAGCCTGGACAACCATCTGCCATGAGTAGGGCTCTGAAACTTCTTTGAAAGAAATATATGCACAGCCTCTTTGCTAGGAACAGCTTCCAAAGCAGCCATGTCAGCACCCCTTAATAATTCAAAGAATGAGCTTCATCTCCACTCCTATGTACTTTGAGACACCCTTGTTCAAAGTCATTGCACAGCTTTGGAAGAAAATACTCTTTTTTTGCTAATATTTATTTTATATATTTGCATTTATTTTTTAATAATGTAAATTTTAAATTCTTCTTGGTTAGTATTAAATAATTTCTATGTCAGTGACAGGGAAGTAAATCTCTGAATTGAATCAACACCCATTATCAGATATTTTGAATGAAAGGAAATGAGTTTTGTAATGGAAAATCAATATAGTAATTACTATTTTCTGAACATAGACATTTCTAGTAGGTTTTCATTTATTGAATGTATTCTGCAACATCTCGTAAAATAAGTAAATTAATATATAGATACATACATACCTGCATACACTATTTTTAATATAAAGTAACAAATTCTAAGAAGTATGTTTGCATGGAAATAAATCTCATTGTGTTTAATGAGATGTACATAAAATTGCAATCTTATACTGTAGCCCTTAGATTTTGGCTAGATGTTTAGCAATTGAAACACTTATTAATAGTTGCCAGACTATCATGTTCTACATTTAGCATCTAAAAAGAAACTATTAAAATTATATAGATAAAGGAAATTGTCACTTTTGGATCAGCTCTTTCCATTATTAAATTCTCTTTCTCTTAGGTGGGAAGGGACAGTGAGGGGACAGCTGATCCTTTAAGGACTGAGAACTTCCTGTGGCAAATCAATAAAATGTGAGTCCACTAAAAATGGCTATGACTCTTTCTCAAGGACCATGTATGAGAAATAATACTGCTCTGGATGACCACTTGTTTTATCTGCCTTTTGGGAAACTTGTACATCTCATTTCCTACACATGCATTTAATCTTATTTATCTCTTTCTTCTCTACTCCCGCCCCCTCCATCCTACCCCTTCCCGATTGCCATTGCTTTCTTTATGTTTCACATCTTTCATGACATTATAGACTTAATAAAAATCTTTTTAAGATTTAGGATTGTTGTGTTTTTTTCCCGTTTTTTTTTAGCTGTCGGACTTGATGATATTATGGATGACAGAGTTAAGGAAACTGCCCACAGTACCATTGATGAAGGTGATCTGTCATCCAACAGGAAATTGAGGGACCAAATGGATGGAACTTCAACCAAATCACCAAGAAAGTCTCCACGTTTAATGAACCAAGGTAGTTTTTTATAATAAAAATACACATTAAAAGCTATGTATTTTGTAGAGTTCCTGTTTCCATGATCAAACCACTTAAAGAATATAACTTAGTGTTTGTTTGAAATAAAAGTGCTTATAATTTGATGAACAGACAATCTATAACCCACTTGACCTGAATAGATGTTGAGGATAAGCTTACTTACTTTTGCATTTATTGTGTTAAACTATATATAAATAAATCTGTTTTTAATGTATGTTGTTTTTTATTGGTATAAATAACATCAATATAATTTTTTAAATAGATCCAGTACGAAGTCTGCGGCAGAGCACACTAGCTAAACGTTCAAATTCTTCACCTTCTGTTCCCACGAAGAAAACTGTAAAGTCTGGACCTGCCCAGAAGGGAGGACTGAAACAACATGATAAAGGACAGGCTAAACAGGATAATAAGAACAATAATGCAGAAGAGGATTTTAAAAAGATTGAGCCAAGCTGTAACGACAGTTCCCAGTTAGAAGAAACAAAAGACATCCCACCATCATCTTCAGGCACTTCAGAATGGGTTCCATCTTGTGCAGAATCAGAAAGCAATGAAGCAGATAATGAGCATGAAATTTCCAGTCAGGCAAAAGTCAAAGTATCTCTTGAAACAGGAAATTCTTCTAATTTGTCAGGTTCTATTACCTTATGTAAAGAAATGGAAAATGGAGCACAGGCTGTTACAGAAAGTTATGGTACTACCATTGGAACAGAATCAGCGTCATCTGCTTTTGTGGAGGCTGACACCGTTACGAATAGCAATAACCTTAAAGATGAAGGTGATGAAGTTACGAAATACACATCTGAAATATCTTCAGCAGAAAAGGCAAACCATAAGACTGAGGAAGAACAGAATAGAATTGAAATAGAAGATCAAAGCAAGGAAACTGGAATGAGTGGTACTCTGCTTATTTCCAAAACCTGTGAAAATTCAAGTGAAATTCAGGAAGATCTTATAGTTCAGTCTAATTTTGTGGATGGAAAGGCTGAATGCAACTTAGGTTTAAAGGCTAGTGATGACATTGCTCATAATGCTAACTTGCAAAAAGAAGACAAGCAAGAACATTCAGATAACCTGAAAAAAGGTGATTTGAAAGATGATCTTCCTTTAAATAGCATGGAATTTGAACAGACTGATTTAAAAGATGATGGTACAAATTCTATCAAATTAGAAGCAAGTACTTTGGAAGATAGTATTGTTCAACACATTCCAACCCAAACAATATATCAAGAGCCTGAAAGTATAAACATGGGAGAGCTTGAAATTTCAGGATTGCGGGAAGTTGGGCATTCTGGTGTTCCATTAAAATACCTAAAAAAGACGAAGTCCAAAAATACCAAGACTAAACAAAATAAAACTACAGTCACACAACAGAAATTGTCTACTGTAGGCCAGGGCACACACAGTAAAATTCATGTTCTTCCAAGTCCTCGTAGTCAGTCTTCAGTAAGCCTGAAACGTCACATAGAGGAGCAAGGAAACATTCAGCATTGTCAGCAAAAAATTAAAGTTAAGAAACAACATTCAGATAAAGATATAAGATTTCAGAGCTGTGACTCTGGAATACCTCTAAAGAAGCAAATCCATGAGGTAGAGAAAAATATTCCCCGGGGTCAAATACCAGTTCAGGTACGGAAGATAATGACAGAAAGATCTGTCAGCCATCTTGCTGGTTCTAAAGAAGGTTTACATTTAATGTTGGGAACAATTAATTCTAAGCAAGGGCAGTTGCCACAACAGAGTCAGAAGCAGCCACAGAAATATCACCTTAAAACAAATAATTGCATTAAGGAACAAGGAGGAAAAAAAGATTCCATGGCATTACTTGTGGATTATTTAAAAGATGATGAAAAGGAGAAAGTCAAAGTTAGAAAGTTAGAAAAGAACCTTCAGCCTCGACAGAGAAGAAGCAGTAAAAGTCTTTCAGTTGACGAGCCACCACTGTTCATTCCAGATAATATTTCTACTGTAAAACGAGAGAGCACAGAACTCCTGTCTCCCAGTGAAAGCAAAAGTGTCTGGATGCCTAGTAAGCAGTGTGGGTTTTGCAGAAAGCCACATGGCAACAGGTGTGTGCTTTAACACATTGGTTTTACAAAAAAAATTGTAATCGGCTTCTCATTTTTTTAGAGCAGGGGTAGGTGAATTTCTTCTGATGGGGATGGACTCCTTTATTTTTTTTTTCATCTGAATGCTTTACATTATTGATTGTAGCCAATTATATCATCATAGGACAGGATCAATATTTTTGGCTTTTTTGGGAGGGAGGAGGAGAATTGGAGGCTAAGTGGTGAAGTGAGAGAAATGTGTTGCAGTGGTGGACTGCAAAAGCATTGCTCTTGGGCTGTAAATGATGAAGAGATTTTCAGAGAAATCTTTTTCAGTCACACATCCATTCCTGTCCCAATTTTAGGTTTTTGGCTATCTTTTTCAAGTTAAAACATAAACGATAGAATCAGATTAATCAATTCGTAACCTGAAATCTAGAATTGTTGAAGTAAGTCAGAATGTCCTTCAGCTACACTAAGGGAGTGAAGGAAGATGAAAAAAGAAGAAGAAGATAATAAAGAAGAAGCAAAAGAAGAAATAGATACAAGAAAATGGCCCTATATTCTGGTTGTTTGCAAAAAAAAAAGCTTGTTAAATGATTTGAAAATCAACACTTCTGCAGACGAACAAATTAATAATGGCTTTTTTCACAACTTCTGTTTTTTTTTTCCTATTCTACTAGTACCCAGAATAGATCACAAATATAAGCCAGGAATAAGCAAGGATTCAGATCTAACTATAAGTCACAATTGAAATAAGCCAGGATTTGCAAACCATCAACAGACCATCCTTGGTTTCAAATTCTGGATTTGTAACAAAAAAATAAACCTTAGATTTTTTTTAGGAGGAATTCAGTCTTCATTCTAAGCCAAAACCAAACAAAGATTGCTTTAACTTAGCATTATATGTAAACCTTGCCTATGTACATTTACCTTCAAGTTAAATCTAGTATATTTTATGATACATATTTCCCAGTATATATATTCCATATCTCTGCCTACCAGAGATGGATTTTTTTCCTGGTAACATTAAAAATAACAAGCATTATTTATAAATATTAAAATGCTCATTGTTAGCTTTAATAGCAAAATTTGAATCTTGTTGTATTCTGAATACTTTTTAAGGAATACTCAGTTTTGCTGTGATAGATTTTCTGAAAACCTTTGAAAAGATTTGATGCTTTAACCTGATTTCATTAACATGTATGTGTGTAATAAAATATGTACCAACTATTCTGCATAACAGCTTTTTCAAACTTTGGCTGTTCTAGATATTCTGGACAATGATTCCATTACACTTTATACTATATGGTTAATTAGAAACAGTGGGATTTATAGTTTGAAACACCTAGGGACTAAGGATGTATAGCATCTGAAATATTATTTTTCTTGCCCTATTGCCAAGAGGAATTAATCTAAATATTTGACAACAAATTTCATATATTGTATTAGCATAGTTAAAATGGTTTTATTTGAAAATTATAGACACGTATCCGGTACTTTCCACTAATAGAACTGTTGAAGTGAGTAGAAGTTTTCAGACTATTGTAAATTAATGCAGTTCGTATCACTACTGGCACCTAACACCTTTTGAATGCAAGCATGGAGCTGGAAGGCCATGAAGTCCAACCTCTCTCTTCATTGTATCAAACCAAGTTAACATATAGGTGAAAGGCTAGCCTCTGCTTGAAGATATCCTGTAAAGGAAAGCCAACCCCTTGTCTTTATAATTGGTTCCACTGTTATATTGCTATTACTATTAGATTTTTTTTTCTGACGTTCAGTTGGAACCTGACTTCCTGTTAACTTAAAGTCATTATTTCTGCATCTGGATTGAGAAAGAATAAATTTTGGCCTTCTGTGGAATGTTGTTATATCTACTTTTTTCTATTCCAAACATGCCCAGCTCCTTTAATTTTTTTTCCATAGGGTTTAATTTCTAGTCATCAGAAAATCTTTGTTGCCTTTCTTTGAATCCTCTGTAGAGTATAAATGCCCAGAATTAGAATATTCAAGATGAAGAGTAAGCAAAGCAAGATGGAGTGGAATGATTTCTTTTCATAATTTGGAAATTGTGTTGATGTAGGCTAAGATGGTTTTAGCTTTCTGTGCAGCCATATTATACTGTTGGCTGATAATTGGTTTGCAATCAATTGTTTCCATAATCTTTTATTTATTAAGCTAATTTTCCACCATCCCCATCCAGATTTTGTTTTATTTCAGAAGCCACCGACACTTACTAAAACGCTAATTAGAATGAGTTTAATTAATATTAAAAGTAGACATTTGCAATAATTGCTTCTGCAGTAGGGATGGAGAAATCAATATTTTTTTTATCTTGTAGAAATGGTAAATTACCAATAACATAAAGTTATAACTAGTACTTATGTAATAAAAAAGATACTGCTATATGCATTGATAGACTTCAAATAGTACACTTCTCTTGGTGGAATCCATTTTTTTCGTTTTTTTCTGCCATACACCCAGGTTCCCTACATTTCTAGAAATTTTGAAAAGGCTACAGTTAAAAGAAGGACAACGTTACTCTGCAAGCCTCATATTGAGTTCTACCCACAGTTCTCACTTTGATGCACACATTTTAAATTACCGGTAGATACTGGATCTAAATTCAGATCCATTCAGTTGGATAGTGGAAGTTGACCTTATAGTTGCCATGGAAGAAGCTTTCACAATAATTTTGGAGTCTTAACACTTTGTGGCCATGTAACGACCATTTCAGTTTTATTTGCTCCACTGCGTGAATCTAAATTTAAAACTAATTCATAATGTGTTTACTCACACCTATTTTAAGTTAAATATTTTTCTGGATTGGACTCAATTCTACATAGTTTACGTATGTAAATAATATATGAAATTGTTTGATTTGATTATATGGGACAAAATGAATTACAATGTATTTTTTTCACAGAAATACCTAGTTGTACAATTGTACCTGAGGGACCTATGTTTTATATAGTTATAAAACTATGTTTTATACAGTTCACTTATGAAAAAAAATCTGACTGGCACATATCTTCTACAATTTCTTCTATTGTTTATAATGCTAATTGTAAATTCTGAGTTATGCTTTTATTCAAGTATTTATATGGTATATTATGCTATGGTAAGCTGCCCAGAGTCACTAAGATTGGAAATTTAATAAATAAAGTTCTAAATAACCTCTAAATAAACAAGTTTTATATTAAATTACTTGTGTTACAAGCCTTTGGAAATCAGCAGAACTTAACTCTTGGCTAAACTTTCACACTGATTTTAACTGAAATCAAAAATGACTTAGATTGCAAACAATTCTAGATTTGCATCATTTCTTACTAACTATACATATATGGGATTGTCTTTTCATTTTGTTTCCATCACAGTACTATAGTGTGTTTCACATATGATGTCAAGATATGATTTGGGTTTATTGCTTTTGACATCATATGTGGCTAAATGGATTTAGCAATCCATTATGGCTTAGTATTTATGAATTAATCAAATGTCTAATATTCACCTCTACCATTATGATTTATTTACAGGTAGTCCTCGACTTAACAACCATTTGTTCAATGACCTTTCAATATTCCCCCAGTCATGTGATCAAAATTTGGATGCTTGCCAACTGGTTCATATTTATGACGGTTGCAGTGTCCTCTTTTGGATCCTTCAATGGGGAAGCCAGATTTCCTTAACAACCATGTTAGCAACTTAACAACTGCAATGATTCACTTAACAATTGTGGCAAGAAACGTAAAACGGGACGAAACTTAACTTTCTGGCTTAGCAACAGAAATTTTGGGCTGAATTGTCATAAATCAAGGACTACCTATATTTACATTCATTTCTATTATGACAATTTATTTTTTATTATTATTTGATTTTATTTCTGTTCACTTTTGTAACTACAAGCGACAATAATTGCTATATCTGCATCATTCTTTAAACATTTTTAATGTATTGCAATAAGCTATTTAAAATTCTAATAAATAAAATACTAATATGATTTAAAGACCTCATTAAGCTGAGATCTGATAAGTGCAAATTACTTTGTAGAAAAATTAAACTACATTAAAGAGTTTTTTTTTCTATTTACCTTAAGTGTTGAAAAATGCTCTTGGTAAGAAACATTGCACTTTATTATATAGCAATACATGTTAATTTTCTTTGTTAAACTAATGACTATTTAACAAAAAAGCTAATGGTGTTTTGAAAAAAAAAACTTTCAGATGTGACTCATGGGGTTTTTTGCCTACCATTTTATAAAGCGTTGAAAACCTACTAAATTTTTTAAGCATCATGTCTTTCTTGTTAGTTTATTGGTTTTGTTTTTAAACTTGGAGATGAGACACTTTAATCTATAAGCTATTATCTAGTAAATATGAGTATTAGTCAAGCTGAATTTCCCCTTTTAATCCTTTATGCAATATGTATGAGTCAGAGATGGATTAGGTCAATCAATAGCATATTTGCTATGAGATCAATAGCAAGATCTTGCTACTCTTTAATTAACAGATACTTACTAATATTAGTAAGATATGTCTGAAACAGTCTTTCAAATTGTATTTCAGCTTTGGACTCAGATGTCTCTTATCTGACCCTTGTCTTTTCTGAGGCTCTTCCTTCCTCAAGGTTATTCTTGCAGCCCATTATATGCAGCTCTATCTCAAACATATTTAAAAAGTTGTAATTGCTGGAATAGCTTATTTAAAGACAGTTGATTGTCATGTTGGAT